TATAACATATCTAATTTTGAAAAGTTCAAATTCACTTTTAAAGACGCTTACTAGTAGATATCGTTTAGATAATTTGATAATATAAAAAGAATATTTACATTATCGGTGTACAAAACTTAACAAATTATGTGAGGAAGGGAGCTCTTAACTACAAATCTCCTCTACCTTATGGAAAGAGGTTTCAAACATTTTCTCCTATATTAAAATTCAAATTATCATAGTTTTGAATGTGTGACGGAAGAAAAGTAATGAAATCTGTCATGGCTACTGAAGAATTATTCTTTTACTTATCAATAATAAAGCCTTTGACTATTATATTTATTAATCATATCTTGTTCAGTTTTATCGTCCAAACTCGTTTTTAAAATCATCAGCTGAAATCAATGCCTCGATATCTTCCCAATTCCAATAATTTGATAAATTATTCATGACACTACTTCTAATTGGACCTTGCCATGTAGTAGTTGACTCCTCCTCCATGTTACTATCAAGATTTTCCATGTAATTATAAATATTTGAAGATGTAGTAGAAGTGGGAATTGAAAATGGAATATTTGTATCATATGGTTGAGAAGTACTACTCTTTTCCCTTGTGATGTCACTTGTTGTCGGTGCAGGACAGGGTAGGTTGAAAATTTTAGGGCTACTTAAGGTCAAACTCACTTTGCATTCTCCATGTCCCGCTCTATTGTCATCCCTACTTGTTGATGTGATCTTGAGCTTGTTTTTCTGACCCCCGCCGATGGGTAGGTTACGGAGGAGGCCACCTTGAGTCCAATACCTTTTACAACCTTTACATAAATAGCGAGGTTGTGACTTGTTGTAATTGTTGTAGTAACAAAATTTGGTATTTGTTGATTCACATCTTGGACACTTTAAGGGCTTTGTTGGTTTAGTAGTTTTCATGACCAAATTATCAAAAAAATATATATATTGATGATGTGAAAATGATTTAGTGTTACTCTAGCCTATAGATAGATTTTGGTGCAAAAAGAGATGTGAATATGAAGAAAATGAGAACTGTTGTGTTTTTGCTTGGGAGAAATGGTGTGTTGAGGTGAAAATACAATATGAATGGAGGTGGTAAAGGACAAGGTCTTATATGGATTTTTTTTAATGAATTTAAGTTATATATATATACGGTATAGATGTTAAATAGGTGGATTGAGTTGAAATTGGAAATATCAAAATAGCGAGTGAGTCATTGACTCTCCTTCAAATTCACAATTTTTTTTTTGTTGGATTGAAATTGAGTAAAAATCGAGTCCTAATTCAATTCACTCAATTTTTAATAATTTATAAAAAGAAATTGTTTGTTTGAGTATCTAATATATAAAACATTTTTTTTATATTATGACTATATGTATAACATATTAAATAAACAAAAAAAAATCTCTTTTTAAAAATATTTAGACAAAATTTCACACTGATCAATCTGAATTACATATCAGCAAACTTTTTAAGTGAGTTGAATTAAGTTGGTCAAAATAAATTGAATTAATAAAATAAATGAATCATTAACTTGTTTAAACCGAAAATGATTGAGCAGATCATAAATAATCATAGATTGATTTGTTCACCTTTCTATATATATATATATAGAAATAATGTGCACATTTTGTTACACTAACTATGAATTTTAGTCAATGACAGTATGTTAATTACTATTTATACTTAATTTCTAATCGATGATCATCAAGAAATTTATAGTGTGCATAAACATAAACACTCAAATGTAAATAAGCATTGCTTCCCCTGACCTCAAATCTCAAATGCTTTAAATACTTTTAATGAAATTTCTGACTTTATCATTATGTCTAGAAAAACTTAGAAAAATGTGAACCGTCGATGGTGGGGTCCATTCGTTAGGTAAGAATGAGTCGAAATAAATCTTCCATATGCTAAATTTATTATACAAAATTACAAACCGTCCATGCTTTAACATATGGAGTCTATTGAAATAGTAATGGGGCCAATAAGCAATTAATAGAAAATTGTGGGGTTCAAACAAACACCGACGAAGAAGATATTAACCACCGTCCCTTGAGTCTCATAATTCTATTTGTAGCCCCACATGTTTGTAGTTTAGTCTCTTTAGTACCATTATTTTCTACAAAATGAAGAATGGTCGGTGATGTTGATGCTATTAAAGGTAAAATTTTGATATGTAAGTTTGTATAATGTGATATTATGCTTGTGAAAAATAGTTGCTATCAACGCGGTTCCACGTGGACAGTGTTGGTACAACATAAATATTATTTTCTTTGATACTTAATTTGATCTAACAGTCGTAAAATACGATAAAAATCATGAGAAATCAAGATTTAAATTTAATACAAACAAAAATGATAGATGTTTTCTTTCTATCGTCTAACCTTTGAATTTTGATAGATAAAGTTATTGAGAATATGTGTTGCTAGGATATAGCAAAGTTAATTGGTACATGTGCTTATGCAAAGTATAGTGTCTAACAAGTACACCATGAGATAGTCGAGGTGCGGACAATTGTTAATTGGTACACCCTTATTTTCCATAAACAAATTTTTATTTTCTGCCTTGATATGATTTTCAACTTGGATAATTAAGAGTAAATTTTAGGTTTAACAAACATAAAAATCATATTTGTTTGCTATAACTATAGTTTGTATAATTGCGCTCCATAGCAAACATAAAGTTTGTTATGGCTATTAATCTGTATATTTCGGTATACATATACATAAAAAATATGTATTCCGGTCTATTTGTATATTTCGTTATACAAATGGGTCTTGCATTTGTATATTTTGATATACAAATGGGTCTTGTCTTTGTATATTTTGGTATACAAATGGGTCTTGCATTTGTATGTTTCGGTATACAAATGGGTCCTGCATTTGTATATTTCGGTATATAAATGTGTCCTGCATTTGTATATTTCAGTATACAAATGGGTCTTGCATTTATATATTTCAGTCTATTTGTATATTTCGGTATATAAATGGGATGGCAAAAAACATAGAATGTTTGCTGTGAATTACAAATAAAAGAGAAACTATTGCTATAACATTTAATTTGAATTAATAATTTGCTATTTCATACAATTTTCTCATAATTATATATGTATGCCAAGAAAAGCTTTCAGGCTAACTTATATTTCAAAAATTGTTTGAGAAACTAAGGACCACCCAATTCATATAGGGATAAATTATAAGAAAAGAAGAAATGGTTCATAGAAATTGTGTTTATTATCTCCTCCGCTTAAGTCATGTAGGAGGAAAATAAAGAAAAGCTTGATATATTCAACACGTATATGTATATACCTAATAAAATTTATAAACTTGACGATTGAAATACTCGAACTTAATAGCTTTGGTTCAATTCTATATTTGTCTTTTCTTTTTATTCAATATGTGTAAATTCTTAATCTATAACCTAGTAACTTAAAAGAACTAGAACCCCAAGCTCATATATTTCTAATTCTAACTCCATTTGTGCTAGTATAATTAGTTGAATAAGACTTGAATTTTTTTTTAATGAAATTCACTCATTTATAAGTACGTATATTAGGTTTTTATTTGCTAGCTAGCAAGTCATGATCCTCTAGTTAATTAAGAAAATTAAATTAGTGTTCCAAAATTGCACGCAAAAGTATATATAATTGTGAGATACAAAACACAACCACAAGCTAATCTATTCAATTCATGATTGTGTAATAGACTATCTTTCAATTAGAGAGAGAGAGTGTGTGCGTATATATATGTGTTAGATAACCATAATCATTTCATAACCTAGAGATTAAGGAAATTTTAATAATTGTATTTCCATTAGAATACACTATCCTAAAATTGTTGAGTTAAAACAACTAAAAGATCTTTTTTATACAATTTAATATTGTTATTTTAAGTCAAACTAGCATGATTTTTCAAAAAAAAAAAAAAAAACTCACAACATTAAGAGTATTTTTACACCTCTTATGTAGTTTTCTTTCTTTTCAACTATCGCTATAGGACTTTATTCACACACCCAATAATCTTCCCCTCAAACGTATCACTAGTAGATCTAAAATTGTAGATGAAAATCAATTGATAACATCATATTGTGAGGAAATAAAAGAGGGATGAAGAAAGTTGGCCAAGGACATAAGGTAGGGCCAAAAGGATTGGTGCATTTTTTTGTTTTTGTTATAGATGGTCAACCCTCATCATCAAGATTATTTATGATCTAGTATGGAAGATTTTAGTGTGTTTGTTACTCACACCATTCAAATATTCATTAATCATCAAGACATACTAATTTTCTTTTTGTATGTATATCCAAAGCTATGTATAAAGATGGTAAATTGGTTAGTAGACGAGTAAAAATATATATTTTTTTTCACGCAATCACTCAGTCATCTTCATATTTATCTCCTCAAATCATTATTAGTTGTTGAGCTAGTTAAAACGATTCAAAGATAATCTTAATATAATGTGATATTTTTTCTTTTAAGTTAAACATGTACAATATTTTTCAAAATGTCTCACGTTATTAATAGTATCTAACACTTTATAAATATCTTACTTTTCTTTTCTACTTTATATGTGAGACTTTCATTTACATACACCCAACAATTTGTTCTTCAAACAAAGCTCGACATGACCCATCACAATCCACGGACTAATCTAGATATTTATCATGCGCCGCTAGCTAGCTCACATATCATCCGAACATTTATGACCAACAAAACTCACTTGTTCGTTTTCTATGTCAATGACTTTTTGACTCATAAATGAATAAATTAAAGGCATTGTATCAAACTTCAACGCCTAATTTAAAGACACTATATCAGAGTCAGGTATACTTGCATTAAAGTTTAAACATCCAAATAATCACAATTCTTTTCACAAACTACTTTTAAAAAAATATATTTTTTAAAATTTTGTAGTGTGATTTTTTTTAATTTTTTTTTTTGGGCAACATTTTTATTAACATTTCAAAATTGATTTGATATACTTCAACTTCCCTTCCTTCCACTCCATAGCAAAAGTTCCCTATAGAAATCAGCAACAATGAAGATGAGCAGTACGCAAGGTCCACACTCTCTGGCCTTTCGGGTCATGAGACTCTGCCGTCCTTCGCTTCACGTCGAAATTCCGGTCCGATTTGACCCTTCCGATCTGTTGTTCGGTGAAGATCTCTTCGATGATCCCGTCGCCGCTTCTCATCTCCCTCGACTCCTCGCTGACACCGTCTCCGCCACCGCCGCTGACGGTAGTACCACCTCGGCTGATCCATCGGATCTCTCTTACCGGAATAGATTCCTTCTTCAGCATCCATCTGATTCTCTTGGCCTCCCTGGTCTCCTCCTGCTCCCTCAGTCCTTTGGGTTAGCTTCGTTTTGCTTTCTCTATCTTAAATGTTAGTATTCTGGATTTAGTAGTGGTTTGACTATAGATTCCAAATATAGATGGACACTTCATTTTAATTTACGAAGATGGATTTGAAAAACAGGTTTGGAGCAATTTTCCAAATTTGGAATAACTCCAAGCTGGGTTTTTGAAATAAAGTGAAAACGCTCTTGTGAATGTCGCTACACATAGTATCTGGATTTAAAATCATTACTTCCTTTCTTATTTTTGTAAGATACTATAAGGAGTAGTTAATATTTTTAGTTACATGATTGTAACTTACAGTGCTACTTTTTATGCAGTTTTAAAATGTGGACATTTAATTTTTAGAAATTGAAAGAAGTGATGTTCAAGTTGCTATATAATTGGATGTTTGGCCCTGTACTGTGATATCAGTCTTTGGGTTAGCTTCATTTTTCTCTGTCTAACTAAAACGTTGTTGCATTGTATCTGGATTTAAAATCAGTGAGTGCACTTCTTAAGATGTGCAGTACCTACTTTTATTGTAATTTAGAAGGCTATTACTATTTGGATAGTTCAATTGGTTTTAGTAGTGTTATTTTTTAAGTGCACTTCTTAATGTATACTACTTCTCAGTCATGATGAGATTGCACCAGGGATCAACCCTTAGTCCGTTCTTATTTGCCTTAGTGATCGACGAATTGACACCACATATTCAAAGGTAGGTGTCATGGTGTATGCTATTTGCAGAGGACATACTATTGATTGACGAGACACGCGGTAGAGTTAACGAGTGGCTAGAAGACTGATGACAGGCCTTAGAGTCTAAAGGTTTCAGATTGAGTAGGACTAAAACTGAGTGCCTGAAGTGCAAGTTCAGTTTGAAGATCGATGCAAAATCCATAATCAAGAAAGGAAGTTTCAAGTTACTTGGGTCCATAATCCATGGAGACGAGAAGATTAATTATTATGCCACGCATCGTATTATAGAGGGTGGGTGGAGTGGAGGCTCACATTTGGGGTACTATGTAATAAGAATGTGTTGCTAAGGCTTAAAGGTCAATTCTACCGAGTGGCGGTTGGACCACAATTGTTGTATGGGGCAGAGTCTTGGCCAACCAAGAACGCCCACATTCAAAGGATGAATGTTGTGGAGATGAGGATGCTCAAATAGATGTGTGGGCATATTAAGAGAGATATGATTAAGAATGAAGTTATACATGGTAAGGTGGGAGTGGGGCCCATGGTGGATAAGATGAGGGGAATGAGGCTGAAGTAGTTTAGGCATGTGAGGAGGAGGTGCATGGATGTGCCAGTAAAGAAGTGGGAGAGGCTGACTATTACATGAGTTAGAAAAGGTAGAGGTAGGCCGAAGAAGAACTAAGGGGAGGTGATTAGACAGAACATGATGCAATTTCAACTTACTACAGACATGACCCTAGATAGAAAAGAGGACAAGGATTAGGCTAGAATGTTTGTAGGTAGCCGAGTGTTGTCGCACTTCGTGTGAGAGAGACAAGGGGAATAAGCCTCCTTTCCGCTTCTCCTTATTACTAGTATTATTTAGTAATCGTGTAATTTCTTATCGTCAATGTGTATTACGATCTGTTGCTTCATTTGCTTTGTATTTGTTAGTTTGTTGTCATATTTTGTGTTACCATGCTACAAATTCTTCTCTTTTCTTTCGAGCCGATTGGAAACAACCTCTCTACCCCCACAAAAAGTAGGGGTAAGGTCTGCACACATCCTACCCTCCTCACCAACACTTGTGGGATCACCCTGGGTATGTTGTTGTTGTAGTATTTCTTTTTGGAGGTCCAATAGATTCTTGTAAATTTGTAATAATTTAAAATTACAAAAGTTGAAACTTATACTCCCTCCGTTTCACAAAGAATGGTCTAGTTTGACTTGGCACGGAGTTTAAAAAAGTAAAGAAGACTTTTGAATTTTGTGGTCCTAAATTAAAGTTATGTAAAATGTACAAAATTGCCCTTTAATCTTGTGGTCTTAAACATGCCACGTGGAAAACTGAAATTAAAATGTTACCAAAAAAAGAAAGAGGTCATATTTTTTGAAACAGATTAAAAAGGAAAGGAGGTCATTCTTTTTGAAACTGAGGGAATAGTATTACTATTGTTTATGTAGTTTTTAAATGTGGACATTTCATTTTTAAAATTTGAAAGAAGTGATGTTCAAATTGCAATGAGATTGAATGGTTTGAGCCTTTGTACTCTGATATCCGTTATTCTTTTTGAAATGGAGTATATATTATCAAAAATTTTGTTTAAATTTTCTACATATATTCGAACAAGAAATAATGGGAGATGTGCAATCACTGCTTATATGCTGGATTTGTTGTGATTAATTATTGCTCTTTTCCTGTTTTCAATTTATGATCTGCAGGGCAATATATTTGGGAGAGACGTTCTGCAGCTATATAAGCATAAATAACAGCTCCAATTTTGAAGTTAGAGATGTTACCATCAAGGTGATTTGCTTGCTTCGCTGATTACATAAGGAGCTACTGTAAATAGTGCTAGAGATTCTATGAATGTATTCAACCTGTAGATAAGCAAGATTCTCTTACAATTTCAACTGAGGTCATAAAATTTGTCAGGTGGCACGGCTGAATTCCTGCTCTCTCGGAAGTCTTAAATGAAGCTTGTGGTTTTACTCTGTTTGAGTTACTTTGTGCATTTTACCAATATTACCAACTGTTAAAAAAAACACAAATAAAACCATAGGAGTAGTTTTTTTTTTTAAACTTAGTGAACCGTCTTACAAGAAGCGTGTGCTTCTGGTATGGAAACTTTCATGGGAAAAATAGTAAATAGAGAACAGCAATGTGATAGCAATCTTCTGGTCTTAGGGTCACATTTGCATAGTTAGAAATAAGCACACACAGAGGACATTCTTGACAGAGTAGATATATAGACGAAACATGCTATGGCATTTTGTATAAGCCGTGACCTTTATGCTCTTGATTGATCATTTGTGGCTAAACTAAGTTCTTTATAAAAAGCCATTAGTTAAAATTTCATTTATTTGGAAAGTATGTTCCGGATGTATCTTACACTGAAGAAAATGAATTAGATCAATGCTCACAATTGAGTCTTATGTTGTGAGTGTATGAACATTGGAATGTCTCTTAAGCATCGATTATGAAGCTTCAGTTTCTGTTAGTGGATATGCTATCATTTTGCTACAATGTGTCTAGCTTAAAGCGCTTCATAGGTAATTGTCAAGTGAATATAAAAGGCTTAGGAATTGTTAAGTCAAAAAAAGGTGAGATAAGATCTGCCGATTTGGACCTCAAGAATCTCTGATTGTGAGTCAAGTTAATACTGGGATCTTACTTTTCATATATCTTATTTCTCATAAATCATCAAAGTTGGATGAGCTAGAAACTGTCATACCTTTGGAATTGGAGTCCTTGACTGTAAGAACCACTTTATAGAAGTGATATTTAATTTTCTACAGGCTGAAATCCAAACAGAGAGGCAGAGGATACTTCTTTTAGATACTTCTAAATCACCTGTTGAATCAATACGTGCTGGAGGTAGATATGACTTCATTGTGGAACATGATGTGAAAGAACTTGGTGCACACACGTAAGATTCATCATAAAAATTGGCGTTCTATGTTGATAGTAACTTTCTATCAATATGATAGTTTACTTATCCAATTACTTCATTTTCTAGGTTGGTCTGCACTGCTCTTTATAATGACAACGATGGTGAGCGGAAATATCTTCCACAATATTTCAAATTTATGGTTGCGAATCCACTTTCTGTTAGAACAAAGGTACATCAAAAAAATCCAAGCTGTTTGCATGGTTAATGTGACATGATTATATATGCTTTATTTTCAATGTATAAGGAACAGTTTTTACTTTTTGTCTTAAAAAAAAGGAACAGTTTTTACTTTTTACTTTTTTTGCTGCTGTTTTAATATATTTCATATTTGGTATCTTTATTATTTCTCAAGTCTGTTCATACTTTTTCAAGATAATAACTGCTAGTTTGTTTCTGCAGGTCCGCGTTGTTAAGGTAGGTTGGTTCAAGCTCATTGAGTGTAAGTTCATGATCTGGCATTCATACTCTCATGTTGAAATTCTAAAGAAAATGGGTCAAGAAAATTCAGTTTTTGTATTCAGTATTTCAATTTCATTGGTTGGGATGTGTCAGTTAAGGCCAATTTGTGGTTACATTCAGCATACTACATCTGACTTGCCACTTTGGAATATCTGCATATTGCGACCCCTAGATATCATTTTCTTATATGTAATGTCAGTTATATCAACTCATCTTGGCAGCTTTTTATGGCTAAAAGGATCATGTGAGATCACATTTGATTTTAACAGTACAAACCATCTTGACTCTTGAGAATCATTTACCAAGAAGCAGTGATCTCAGCTTCTGCATTTCTCATACTTTTTCTGTTCATGACACTAAACCCTTTTTCCTATCCCAGGAAACCACTTTTTTGGAGGCTAGCATAGAGAATCATACAAAATCTAATCTCTATATGGACCAAGTTGATTTTGAGCCAGCTCAGAATTGGAATGCTACAATACTAAGAGGTGTTGATCACCATCCAGAGAGCAAACAACCAATGAGGTTGACTGATAGATATTCTCTCTTGTACCATGGGAATTGCAACATTTTTTTTGGTTTAAAATTTTGACATGTTTACCAATTAATTTTAGCAGTCATCTTTGTTCCCTTGACTAAACTTTGCTGATCTATTTGATCTGCCAGTGATGTATTTAAGCCTCCTATTCTCTTAAGATCTGGGGGCGGGATCCATAATTTCCTCTACCAATTGAAGTTATCATCAGATGGCTCTCCACTGCCGAAGGTGGAGGGAAGTAATGTCTTGGGAAAACTCCAGATAACTTGGCGTACAAATTTGGGTGAACCCGGACGCCTTCAGACACAACAAATTCTTGGAAGTGTAAGTGAAGTGATTTCTAATATTGAAGTTTTGATGCACTCCTAAGGTATTTGTTTCACACCTTGCAGCCCATTGCTCAAAAAGACATTGAGCTAAGAGCGGTGGAAGTGCCATCAATTATCATGCTGGAGAAACCTTTCGTGGTAAGACTGAGTTTATGTCTAAAAAAGTAATAGTAGTCCATTTCTCCTTATACAGTGCTGACTGCTGTTTGAAACTAGTGTTTTGGGGATTATTACGAGAGTCCTTTTATCTATGGAATGAGTGAGAAAGTTTGTTCATGTGAGTTGCATTTGCTAGTTTTCATATTCTGCTTGTGATTGGTCTGTCATGAATTCCGATGTCTTTGTGGGCGCCTCTGTAGGTACGTCTGAATCTTGCAAACCAGACAGACAGGGTGCTGGGCCCTTTTGAAGTTTGGGTGTCACAAAGTGACTCACTTGATGAGAAGGCTATCATGGTTAATGGTCTTCTAACAATGGTGAGACACTGAAATGGCTTCTGCACTATCCTGATTAGCTTTATCCTCTCTCATTTGATGATCTAATGAAATTACTTTCTTTTTGTTGAAGTTCTTGTTTGGTGCATGCATTTCGTTCTGTTTCTAATTGTCGGACTCTCATGCTCAGCACTGTGGTTGTCATAATGTTAATTTTGCACTTTGATGTACAAGTTCAATTCTCTATCAGAATTTTTACTTCATCTTCGAGTCTAATTTCATCTGATTTTTTCTCTTTACAGTTGGCATATGGTTGCATCTGCATCTTTTTCTTGTCTATTCTAAACTTCTCTTGGTTGCAGCATTTGGCACAGGTGGAAGCATTTAGCTCTTCAGAATTCGAGTTGGTGAGGATAATCCTCTATTTATTCTTGTAAAATGGATAGCTCAACTGCTATTTTTTTTATCGGATATATCTTTCAGTCATTTATTTGATCATTCAGTTATTTCCTTGCATCATAAAATTGATTTTTGGTGCACTTTCCCATGTAGAATCTGATTGCTGTGAAGCATGGGGTACAGAAAATCACAGGCATTACAGTGTTTGACACGCGTGAGAAGAAAACATATGATTCTTTACTGGAGTTGGAGGTGAGTTTCAGCTTACAGAACAGTTGAATGCTTCTTTTCAATTTCATTCCCTTTCTATTACACCTTTTCTTATAGTCGAATGTGGTTGCACCCTTCTAACACATGATTGTCCCACACATTGTCGACCTACCTTCAGTATAGATCCAGACCACTGTCTACTCTCATTGCCACATGGTATTGACAAGAACATGTTGTCTGCTGGCAACTAGTGTTCCTAAAACACCAAGTATGAAACTCAAATTGATCAATGGGCACACCCTTAACTATTCATCCTTCTCTTGGCATTCCAAAATCAGCAGCCCAAAATAGAACTCACTGGTTACATCATGTTCGAAAAAGTATAGAAAATGTTGAATGTCTTATCATTACAGTTTTCATTTACCGTTTTGTTTTAACATTGTGTTAAGGAGGAATAAGTGCATATAATTTTATTCTGCATCAACTACAGGTATTTGTCGATTCACAGTAGGTACTTGAGCCAGACGTGGTTGCAAAGTAATAGGGACACTGATCTGCTTGAAGATTGGAGTTACCTTTGATCGAGAACTTTTACAGCTCGGAACATCACAGTTAAGATCTAGACAGTTCCTTGTTAAAGGGATTCTCTAAATGCCAAACAACAAGAGGGTACTTGCCTGTTCAATAGCCTCAATGTATCTTGGCATTCATCCAGAAGATCTTCAAACTATTAACTTGTGTTTTTCTCGATCGATCGACAGTGTACACTAATTATGCACATGTTATTTTCTCAGTATAGTTTTGTGCCTTTCCTCCTCTACCAATTGTGCTACAATATTGGGAAAGCTCATATTTTCTGTGTTAATTAGCTTTTTTTCTAACTCCCTTATGTTTAGGCTAAATTCATGAAGAGAGGTTTGAGACTTGAGAATGGTTAAGAGTTTCCCACAAGACACTTGAAAAAATTTGTTGAAAGATTGGTCAAGATAAACTGTTTTTGTAGTACTAAAATCTTTAAATAAAAACCATTTTGGACATTTTTATAATCTATATTATTATATATTATGTTAATTTTCCACTTCAAACTTGAAAATTGGAACATTTTTTTTTCTTCTATAAAGCTTCAACATAATTTCAGGTGAAATACATGTTCAAATACCGCTTCAAACTTTCAAATATCCTTTTATGTGGTCATTCACATGAATATTCTTATTTTGTTGTGGGTTTTGATTTTTGCCCTCAAATATGATCTTTAATTTGTGACCTTCAACCCTTTAATTAAGTAAAATTAAGTGGTCAAAAATATTATTGACATGAAAATAACAAATAAGTTTTTGTTCAACATAAATTTATATTTTTGTATCACAATATATACAAGTTTTGTCGTATTGTTTAACTTAATTCCTATGAGACAAGTTCATTTAAGAATCACAAGTTATGTTGTGTTATATAACTTTAACTAGGGAATTTGGCCGGGCTTCGCGCAGTTATAAAAATAATATGTAAATTTATTTTAGAAATTAATTATGATACAAGAAATAAAAAATCAACTATAGAAATAAGAAAATGATAAAATCACAATACACAAATATTTTTATAGAATTAGAGCTTAAGTGAATTACATTTTTGTTGTCAAATATTTTTCAAAATTAAAAGGCTATTTTAAAATTTTTTTCATATATTATGATGTTAATACATATAATTCGAATAAACATATTTAAGGACTTGATTTTTTGTCTTATTTTTATCAAATGTTAAATTTACTATATGATGAATCTTCTTTTTATTTGAAGAAAAATGATGAATCTTCTTCTTTGATACTTAATCCTTTCATTTTCCTTGTTTTTTCTCTTATTTTTCATCATCATCTAAATACATATTTTCCTCTTATTTTCCATCATCATCATCTAAATAAACCTCTATTGCTAATTTTTGTGTCTATCCTATATTATTCTTTTAGTAATTCTTTTAAAGTATAAGAAATGAACAAATTTAAAGAAAATGTAAATGGTTCTTCACCATAAGAAACACTTAAGAACTGTGCATTTCAATATTTAATATACATTTCTTTTGAGCCATTAGTAGTAAAATTTGAACATCTGTTAGCGTAGTTAGCTATTTCTGACAAAGTTACAAATAACTAATTTGAGCCTAAGTGAAAATGTAATTTACTACAATTTAAAAAATTTATAAAAACCTAAATTTTAAAAAGTTATAGAGATAACACATTTTTGTTAAGTCCATAATCACAAAAACAAAGATGAAAAAAAATTACATAATCAATGCACATATTTTCGAGTTTTTATCTAGCTCCCCTTCTATCCACATCCAAAAGACTTTTTATGGAGTCAAACTAAAGTATAAATCTGATATTACAACAATAATATAAAATATCACTATATCAAATATGAATAAAAATAATAATCTTGAGTAGAAATCTTATGAAACAAAAAACATGAATTTAAATTGACAAAATTAAAGTAATATCATAAGGAATCTTAAATTTTGAAATTAAATAATTGGGGGTTATAAATATGAAAATTTAAGAAAATGAGTTAATAATATCAATTAAAGTAAAAGTTCAATAGGTATAAGTTATGGAGATAAATTTTTTAATATAAATAAGAGAAGGAAAAAAAAAATCATGAACTATCCAACATTTGTTGGGTGTCTAAGTTTTATTAGGAAAAGAAAGCAAATCAACTTCTTCTTTTTGTATTACTCCATTGTGTTTAACAAAATTGGAAGAGGAAAAATATACAATAAAAAAGAGACAAATATCTTGAAAGATTGAAGTAGTAAAAATTGAGACCTTTAATTTTTTGTAATAAAGAATAATAATGAGTGTAAATAATTTTTGAGACATTTAAGTATAACAATAAGTTGCACCTTTCTAAAATTTAGCTTATATTATATATAGATTTTTAAGTACAACAATATCCAATAGTTATGAGAAATGTACCATAAATAATATACCTTTCAACCATGACAAAAATTTAGAATAGTGAAATCAAAATAGTACATTAATGAATATTTAAAATATTGGAAACATTAAAACTTTATACTTCTATGTCATCTAATCAAATAGATAAGCTATATAATTTTTAGTAGAAAGTTTGGGACTCCATATTTATGTACCAAAGAACCAAATTTTGACTTGCATTGACCCAGAAATCCAGAAAAAAAGAAACAAAAAGAAAAACCTCAAAAAGGTCAAGCAAATGCATTACCACATTCACCAAATCAAGCATTCAAACATCAATTTATTAGAAGAAAGACGTTCTTATCTCACAACATTCACAAAGTGACAAAAACAAACAAAAAAAAGCTTCTTCTTTTGACACATTTGGGTGGGGGAGGGTCGGGGGTGGTGGTGGGTGGAGAAGAAAATCTGAGTGAGAGAGAGGGGTTGGGGTTTGAGGTGGAGGTAGGTAGTAGAGAAGACAATTTGGGGGTGGTGTGGGTATAATTTTGTTTTTATTAAAAGTGTTTTTTTATAAAAATTAGGGATAAGGGTCTGAAAAATATCTCAACTTTGGTCGGATTTGTTGTTGCGATACTAAACTTTCATGAGGACCTATTACCTCCCTAGACTATTTAATATCGTATTTTAAATATATATATTTGCCCACATGGACATAAAAAATAATGCAAAATTATAAATAGTAATGTGTCCACGTGGGCACCTATATACCTTTAAAATACACTATTAAATAGTTCAGGGGGTAAAAAATACGGTATTAAATAGTCTAGGGAGGTAATAAGTCCTTATGAAAGTTTAGTATCGCAACAGCAAATCCGACCAAAGTTGAGGTATTTTTCAGACTCTTATCCCTAAAAATTATTTAGTTAAAGAAATGCCACATGTCAATGAGTCATTGGTAGTTTTTTTCCTACTCAAGATTCATCATTTAATAATTTTTTATATATATATATGCCACGTGTCTTTATTTAATTCGTCACTTTGATACGTCATCAACGAGTGTTTTACACACACCTTATAAATTTGGCAGATTGTCGAAAAAGTGTCAAAATGACACAGTTGGGCATGACATGAGGTGTCTAAAATGAACAAAGCCTAGTTAAGGTGTCTAAGTGAAAGATCGTGCCAAGTTTAGGGGGCCACCGATGGGTTAGCCCTATTATATATAGATTCTTACATAACTTATGTCTAGCTAGGTAAATTGAACTTATGCCAAACGAAGCAAAGATTCTTTAAATTTATATGAAACGAATTAGATCATAGATATACTATACAACTTATGTTGCATAGCTTGATTTTATCTCTAAATTTATGCCGAATAAATTTATATTGATATAGATAAAAAAAAATTTGATCTACAAATTTTTGAAGTGGGCTCAACTTGAAACAAAAGAAGCCTAAAATGAATGTTGCTCCATCGATTCTCGCCGGAAGTTTATTGCCAACGTTTCTCTCCGTCGTTAAAGCTTTCAAGGTCAAGGTATGTGAACATGTAGCGTTTTTCTCCTCTTTCATTCTCGTTTTTTATTTGTTTTTATCTCTTGTTTTCCCTCAATTTTCGGTAACTGATGTGAAAGAAAAAAAATGTTTTTCATGAGATTAGCTTCATAGGTACATTTTGATTTCGCTTCAATTTCCTTGATATGTTTCTGAGTTCTGTTCTGTAGTTGAGTTGAACAAATTTTTATTTCCTCTGCTGAAACTGCTGAAATTAAAGGGAGATGGTACATGAATAATTTTCGATTCTTCGTTATGGCCTAGTGAAGAACCAAGCATCTCTAATTCAATCAAGTTTGCAAAACTAATGGGAAAAGTCCAAGACTAATGGTAGCTGCCAGACTAACCTAAAGATTGAAAGAAAAGATTTTCTTTTTCGCATTACTCCTACTGGTACACTAAGAGAAGGAAGAAATCCCTAATTTCTTTCCCTTGACTTTTGGTGGCAAGACCATTTTCGAAAAATCTGAAGAAAATCAAGGATATAAATAGTAGAGTACAAAAGATAATACCATCTAAGTCACCACATAGATCAAGAAAGAAAATGACACATTAGTTAGCTTTATATATCGAAGAAAATGGGTGGACTAAAGTCAAAATTTAGAAAAAAGAGATACATAATTCTCATAAATTCTAAAAAAAATTTGTAATTAATTATAATTTAATAATTAATTTTTCTTTTTCAATTGACAATATAACATTTTTTGTAATATTTTGTAAGAAAATAATAAACATATATAAATTATTGTACGTTACATAACATCACAAATATTTAAATCTCTTTTATTGATTATAGTTTTGAAAACTTTTTCAATAGAATTAATTATAACATATACTATCAAGTTTATTCTAAAAGTGTTAAAAAATAAAATTAAGATTTCATTTCATTGAATATGTCAAGTAGAGTATCAATTTTTTTACTTATATAATATTTCATAATATTTTTAAATACAAAAATCAGTATTATAATGATTGTTATCCAAGACATTTAAAGTTACAATATTTTTTTAAATTTGATTATTTGATAATCTAATTAGTTTGAGTTTGAAATGTTTAATAAAACATTTCAAAATATTGAAGTAAAACATCTCAAAATATTGAAGACAATCTTATAAAGTCAATATTAAAATATGATTGATTCAAATGGAAGAGAGTTAGAGAAATTAAGAAATAAAAAGTAAAATTTAGTTGTCTATGACTTTTAATTATAATTACATCAATAATAAAATTTAAAATTAATACTGTCTCCATTTCTTTTTTGACAACTATTTTAGAACTAAGTGTATTTATAGTGTGCATAACAATTCAAAATAAACGGAGGGAGAAGTAAAAAAT